TTGTTACATCTCTAGAGGGAAAGGCTCTCATAGATATGTTTCCTTAAAATGTTAATGGGAGAAATTTTCTTACTTCTGACATCCGCATGGTAAGAAGTCAAATATTAACTATGGGAAGGAGAAGTTGTCTTTGCAACTTTTCTTTCAGTGGAGTATATCTGCAAATAATGAAGATCGGTGAGAATCATGCCAGCTGTAATGAGTTTGAGGAGGTTCCTGCAGGTGCTGTGCATGAGGAGATACTGATGGAGAGGAAGCTTTTGGGTTTTCTTAATTCCCAGGGTCTGTTGCTGGACTACATAAAATGAATATGCTCAGATTCCAAACAGTGACAAGTTGTGAGTTTGTCAGTTTCCTTCCTCTCCTACTGCCTGTGCTACTCCCTGTGAAGGGCAGTTCAACTGTTACCTTGTTTGTCTTGATGAGGTAAAGGTGGACCTGTGTGTGTCTGAAACCTTATCTGAAAATGTCACTAGAATTGTTGATTTTGCTTTTTACCTACTCATGGTGAGAAGTCAGTACAAGATCAGGGAGAGACTGCCCCAAAGCCACTCTGGGGATTCTTTCATGTCCTGCCTAGTACCAAGGCCTTGTGTCACTTACATGAAGTGCCCCTTTCCAGTGTCCAGAAAGGGGGTGACAATCCTCTGAAGAAATTGGCTGGAAGCAATACCCATGGAAGTGCAACCCTGCTTCAGGGCTTCTGCATGTTAGAACTGCTGTGTGAAATATCACTTTTCACAGCTATATACCCTTGTAAGGTTGTGATGTAGAGTTTCATTGTGGTTGGACTAATCTTTCTGCAGTCTTGACCAATCCTTCGGATGTTATCAAGTGGCTCTTGCTCATATGAAGTCACTACTGATATTAAAATTGGTGGGAACTTATGGATGGGAGTGTTTATTTGTCAGGAATTTCTGAGTTTGGGGCTTGTTATTTGAAGTATGTGCCAGGAAGTCACTTATTTTGTCCTCTTATCATGTCCAATACAGCTTTTCCTGTGAGTGGTAGTTCTGGGATATAGACACAAACTTTGCAATAATGGTTGCAGATTCTTCCAAAATGTCCCTGTGCTGGGGAAGAATGATGGTGTCTTTGAGCTCGATTCTGATGACTAAGTCATTAACTGAGCTGCATATTGGTTATGCCCCTTAGAACATTTCATGTTTCTTGAAATGAGTGTGATGAGCAGAGAATACCTTATGCAGTGATCTGTGTTGTGATCCTTGTTCTCCATAAGGAGAAGTTATGTGGGAAAATTTTCTTCCAATGTTGTCTGCCTGCAAAGGGCAGCTTCCCTTGTTCCATGATGTTTGGACATGCAGAAACATTCTGTCTGCACAGAGACAGGGCAGGTGGAAGTGTTTGCTGTGGTGTACTTAGAAATGTCTAAAAGGTTGGTGCAAGTGTTCTATTTCCCCTGGCTGTTATATGGATCCAATAATTGTGCTCCTATGTGTTTTCCCTGTTTCCCAAAGAAATTACTTGGAGAACTGTGCCTCTCAATACTCAATCCTCTTCTTGCTACAGTTATATGTGGAAATGTTTAGTTAAGATTCCTACATTATTTCGAGTTTCCCTTTTTTTTTTCTTTTTTCTTTTTTTAATTCTTGTTTCTTCTCATGTTCTAAAAGTGGGCCTCAGTTTGGCTGACAGTTCTTAAAAACAGAGAGACCTGTTGAAACTATCAGGCTGCAGGAGGAGTTGTCTTCCATATTTTGAAGGTGTTCAGCTGCCAAGACAAAGATTTCTGTTTCCCTAAAATCTTGCTGAATGAAACATCTGCTTTGTCACTTGTGGTTGACATATGGTCAGAAGCTGGATTTGTCCATGATGTGAAAAAGGTTGTGAATGCAGAGCAAGGAGGGTGAGAGGCTGACTTTGTTCTAGGAAAACATGTGAGTCAACGTGGTTTTGGCAGATCAATGGTTTGATTTCTTACCTAGTGTCAAGGCCGGTGTCGTTTTTGTCCCTAATCCTGGTTTCCCTGTCCTAAAAGGCAATTGTAGTCCTCTGATAAGAGAGCATTTGTCTCATAACTCTCCATTTAGAGGCCTGATGCATAGCTAGAGGTTGTGAATGAGTGATTTATATTCCTTAATGATTCCCTCTCAGAGGTACTAACAAAAATTGCTTTAAGATGTTGTAGAAATACATCATAACAAAGTTTTATAGCAGGGCTCACTCTATTACTTTCAGTGTTGAAATAGAAAGAGGACCATTGTCACATGGATCCCCTTGCTTCCTTAACTCCTGGTGGATCTTAGGTGTGGCCAGGTGCAATGTCTATTATTTATTACATGGATAAAACACATAAAGGAGAATTGACTCAGAATCAACCTAGAACTATTTATGCAGAGACTGGAGACTGAAATGAGTGAGTGAGTCCCTCATACTGAGTCACAAGTTTCAGAGTGGACACTCTTGCTACCTCAGCTACTGACAGAGCTTAGGTGTAGCCAGGTCCAGTCTTAGTTTTAGGCTTGGACAATGGTTTGTATTTAATGGAATTAGCTGCATGCATTTCATTTCTATTTAGTTTTCAGCTACTTAGTAAAGATCTGTTGCAGGTGAGGAACCTCAGTGCCTTGGGAAAGGATAGGTGTCTTAGTCTCCCTTAAAGACTTTCAAACCCTGAGAGATGTGACTTCATGATGTAGAGTTTCCTTCCTCATAGTTGTAACTACACTTTGGTTTGGACATTTCTTTCCTGGAAGGTCATGGTTCTTCTCCCCCTTTTCTGATCAACACTTTTTAATCTGGAACTGCAGGTGTTGTTTAGCAGCAAATACTTATTTCAACCACCTAAGATAATTTTTTATATGTGAAGAAGAAGAAATAGAATCTAAAAGAGAATCTGTTGTGCTTTCTCAGAAGACAGGCTGAGAAAGAGGCCCACAATAAGACCTGTAAACATAGGGCTTCATGTTTGTGAGAGATGGGCAGGCCCCACAGTAGAAAAACTGTTAAATAATCAACCTATTTTTATAAAATGAAATCAAACCCGTAGTCCAGAGTAAGACTTCAGGGTGACATTTACAGCTTGAGTCATCAGTGGGTACTAGGTGCTCCCAGGTATGAATTTCCATGCCTGCTTAGTGAGTTTATACTTCCTTTCGCTGCTTGTCTGACTTTTTTCCCTTGTCATGTTACAGCTAGTGAGGAAGCAGGAGAGTGGTACATCTGGGTTCTAGTTTTGTCATGGGTTAGCAGATGTAAAGATGACCTAAGAAGAAGTCACACCTTTGTAGATCAGTACATGTCATCAGAGATGCAGAGATTCCCCCTGAGTGCATAGTTTGATGATGCAGTCTCTGTCCAATGACTGTTCCTCTTTTAGTTTGTCCATTTGTCATTCCTTTACTTTTGAAAAATTATGTTTCTTCTCAGAATGGTGGAGATCAAGTGTATTTCCTTTCTATGGTTGTGATGCATTATCCTCTATAACAGGTTTTGGAAAATGATGAATGTCAAAATCAAAGCTGGAAGTTATGCAGGGTTGGAGAGTGAGGAGAAAAATAAGAGAGGGGTAGAATTCCTGCTGTGAAAAGTCCTTTCTCCATCTACATATCTAAGTAACTTTTTGATAAAGAGTTCATAAAGGTAGTCTTTGCATTTTCCACCTTGGATCTTTCTTCAGGCTTTGTTTCCTGTAAGATCATGGTTCGTGTTGCTCACTTGTGAGGACTCTTTTGCAGCAAATAGTGACTTGGGATGAGACCCAAATGAAGACACAATATTGTGTGTGAGGAAAATGAAGCAGAAGCTAATACTGAGTCTCTCCTAAGTACTTCTATTCAGATTAAAGGCCTCCAAAAAGGCACTTGCAGCTTCATATTCATAGGAGATTAACAAGGTAGTGGAGGGAATTTGGTTTAGCAAATTCCAGGGATTTCTGTTGTTCTGATGCTTAGTAAAGTCATTCAGCCCAGTCAGGAGAGACCTAGTAGCCCTTTGAAATCACTGCAGCTTGCCTAGCTTACATCTTGAGGCCTCGGTGAATTTTTCAGTGCTCTGGGAATGAGTTTCTAAGGCAGAGTTCTGATAAAGCAAGTGAAACACACATATGCCAGTGAGGTCAGATGGAGGTTTTGGCTTTGTGTGTGAATGATCAGAATTCATTGAAAATCTTTTGGCTGATTTTGTGGTCCTAAAATGGATTAGCCAGATGATGGGACTTGTGTGTAAAAGTTCGCAAAATGAAAACAACGGAAATGTGAAATCTGTTCTTAAAATAAGCCTGATCTTTGAGTTTCCACCAAAAGAACAGGAGTTTTTATGGGTGGAAGACGAGTCAGTTTAAGGATGGACATAGAGCAAAGACCCCTATGTACTGCTTTGTACTTTCTTTTTCTGTGCCAGGTATGTACAGTGACATGAATGCAGTTCCACTACTTTGGGTTTTATGTTTATCTACCATTGTTAACACTATGAAAATCTACTTTTGACTTAGACCCTCTACCTAAAGAAGCTAGAAAAATTGTACCTCAGGTACCAGAGAAACACATTATTTCTAAAGCATGTGAGCAATCTACTTTTGGCTTCAGTTCTCTGACTGTACATGAGCTAAAGAATCTGGAACACAAAATTCCTCTGGAAGAAATATTTCCTTCTTAAGTTTCATGCCAATGCACACCACAAGATGTTAAAGTCTTTGATAAGGTGTAATAACAGTTTGTATGCCTATTGCAGCTACAAAAGAAACCAACAACAAAAAATCGGTATTAGACTTCAACTGTTGCTGTAATCACTAGGGTGCCTACTTAGTATGAAGCAAATACTTTCGCTCTTGCTGAGAATAATAGAATAGACACCCCAGAGCCGCAGCAGTCTCCAGCGCGGCCCAAAGGCGGCTGCAGTGCTGCGGCGGCGCCTCCGGGTGTCGCTGTTGGCCGCCGCCGAGCGGCGCTGGAGCCGCAGCCGCCGCCGCCGCAGCGTCCTGCCCCCGCAGGCTGCTCGCTCGCCCGGCCAGTGGCGGCCAGAGCGGCAGCGGCACGGGCAGCAGAGGCGAGAGGCGGCCAGAGCGGGCAGCGGCGGCGTCCGAGGCGGCGGCGGCGGCCCCTGCGCTCGCTGCTTCGAGCGGCTGCGAGGGAGGCAGGGCAGCGGCAGGAGCCGTCCGAGCGCCGAGAGCCGGCGCTGCCGACAATGGCGGGCGGGCGGAGGCAGAGCGGCGGGCCGGCCGGCGGGCGAGCGCTGCTGCTGCCCGCTGTGCTGCTGTGCCTGTGCTGCCGGGCGGCGCCGGAGCGGCTCCGCTACGCCATCCCCGAGGAGCTGCCCACGGGCTCGCTCGTGGGGCCGCTGGCACGGGATCTGGGGCTCAGCCCGGACGAGCTGCCGGTGCGCAAGCTGCGGCTCAGCGAGGAGAAGCAATACTTCACCGTGAGCGAGGAGAACGGGAACCTGTACGTGAGCGAGAGGCTGGACCGGGAGGAGCTGTGCGGCGAGTCGGCGTCCTGCTCCGTCAGCTTCGAGGCGCTGGTGCACAACCCGCTTAATGTTTTCCACGTTGAGGTGGCCATTGAGGACGTGAATGACAACTCCCCAACCTTCAGCAAGGCTGCTCTGGACCTCGAGATCGATGAATGGACAGCTTTCGGCACTCGTTTTCCGCTGGAAGTGGCCCGAGATGCGGACGTGGGCAGCAACTCTCTGCTGACTTACGAGCTCACCAGCAACCCTTCTTTTTCTCTAGCCTTGAATGAGAACTCGGGTGGAAAGAAGCAGCCTGAATTAGTGCTGGAGAGACAGTTGGACCGGGAGAAGCAGAGCTCCTTTGAGTTGGTGCTGATGGCACTGGATGGTGGGGATCCTGCAAGGTCCGGGACTGTCCAAATTCGGGTCAATGTGACTGACGCCAACGACAACCCCCCAGTGTTCAGTAAAAAAGTGTACGAGGCTCGAGTGCCGGAGAATCTGCCGCCGGGGTCGCTGGTGCTGCAGGTTCGAGCCACAGATGCGGACACCGGATCCAATGGGCGGGTGTCCTACTCCTTCCGCAACGTCCCTGAAGTCATCAGCGCATTATTCGTTGTGGACAGCGAGAGCGGCGAGGTGAGGACAGCGGGTCCCCTCGACTTCGAGGACAAGAGCAAATACATTTTCGAACTGGAGGCGAGGGACGGGGGCGGGCTCACGAGACACTGCGAGGTTCAAATAGACATCACGGACGAAAATGACAACGCTCCCGCCATCACCATTCTTTCGCTGTCTAGCCCGGTGCCCGAGGACGCTCCAGCCGGCACCGTGGTAGCCCTGCTGAAAGTTCGTGACCGGGACTCCGGCGAGAACGGTGAGGTGTCGTGCGAGCTGTCGGGAGAGGCACCGCTGTCGATCGTGGCGTCGTCGGGCGGCTCGTACAAGGTGGTGACGGCGAGCGCGCTGGACCGCGAGCAGGCGTCCGAGCAGCGCGTGACGGTGGTGGCCCGGGACCGGGGCAGGCCGGCGCTGTGGAGCACGGCGGAGCTGGTGCTGGAGGTGTCGGACGTGAACGACAACGCGCCGGTGTTCGAGGAGGCGGCGTACAGCGCCTACGTGCGGGAGAACAACGTGGCGGGCGCGCTGGTGCTGCGCGTGAGCGCGCGGGACGCGGACGCGGGCGCCAACGGGCGCGTGAGCTACTGGCTGGCGGGCGGCAGCGCGGGCGCGGCGGGCGCGGCGCCGCTCGTGTCGGTGGAGGCGCGGAGCGGCGCGGTGTACGCGCAGCGCTCCTTGGACTACGAGCAGTGCCGCGAGTTCACGGTGGCCGTGCGGGCGCAGGACGGCGGGCGCCGGCGCGCAGCTCCACGGCCACGGTGCGCGTCTTCGTGCTCGACCAAACGACAACGCGCCGCGGGTGCTCTACCCGCCGCCGCCGCCGCCGGCGGGAGGGGCTTCTTCGGCGGCGGCGGCTTTCGAGGTGGTGCCGCGGTCGGCCGAGGCCGGCTACCTGGTGGGCAAGTTGGTGGCGGTGGACGCGGACGCGGGGCGCAACGCGTGGCTGTCGTACGAGCTGGTGCAGGCGTCGGAGCCGGCGCTGTTCCGCGTGGGGCTGCAGAGCGGCGAGGTGCGCACGGCGCGGGCCGTGTCGGAGCGGGACGCGGCCAAGCAGCGGCTGGTGGCCGTGGTGAAGGACCACGGGCAGCCGGCGCTGTCGGCCACGGCCACGCTGCACGTGGTGCTGGCCGACAGCTTGCAGGAGGCGCTGCCGGAGCTGAGCGAGCGGCCGGCGGGCGCCGACGCGCCGGCCGAGCTGCAGTTCTACCTGGTGCTGGCGCTGGCGCTGCTGTCGGCGCTCTTCGTGCTCAGCGTGGCGCTGGCCGTACTGGCGCGGCTGCGCCGGGCCGGGCCGCCCGCCGTGCTGCGCTGCCTGGGCGCGCAGCGCTTCTCGCTGGCCGGCGCCGCCTTCCCGCCCGACTTCTGCGAGGGCACCTTGCCCTACTCCTACAACCTGTGCGTGGCCGCGCCGGCCCGCGCCGCCGCCGAGGCCGCTTGGCCGCCGCCGCCGCTGCCCATCCTGCCCGCCGAGGAGCTTCTGGCCGGGGAACCCTGCGGGAAGCCGATCCCGAGCAGCAGCGCCGTCGCGGGAGAGCCACCTAACGACCCCGATGCACCACAGGTCTGTAAACCCCTTCACTCCTTGCTTTCTGAAGTTTTCCTAAGGGTGTGCAGGTGGCAGTGGGCTCTTGGGGGTTGTGTCTTTTCTGTTTCAGCTAGTGCTGGTCGCTGTTTCCACAGGCGCAGGTAGTAACTGGGCCCCCTTTTAGGCAGCAGGCGTTGCGAACCGGCCCTTCCTGCCTCAAGAACTGTCACTGATGTCGGCTCAGTTGGGAGGTTCTCATCGTTGAACTTATGCTGCATAAAACCGTAGAACACTTTTAAAGGTGTGCTTCTACGTTCTGCTTTCTTTAGTTTTTGTCTTAGAGGAGTAACATAGGGATAACACCTCTCTGTTCAACTGCTCATGTTTATCTGCAAACCCTGTGTTGTGTGAAATAGTATAGGTTAATCTCAGTGAAGGTGAATACTCAGATCTTAGAAAGAAATCGGGTAATTGTACGTGGTGGAGTTGGCAATGCAATTAATCCTCATTAGTGAGATTTTTTTGTTTGTTTTTCGTTCGTTGGTTGCTTCCTTTCAGTGGTTCTTACCCCCGTTTTATTTTTATCATTCTTGTCACCAAGTTTATACTTTCCTTGCTTGATAGCATCTCTCGCTAAGGCTGTGATCAAGAATGGGGCAATAAGCTATATGCAAAAGTAGAGCCTTACATTTAGGATGTAATAAAAAATTCGTAAGTTCTGGTTGGAGGAGAGCAATGCAGCCTGATTGAGAGCAGCCTCGCATGTGCAAGTGAAAAGTGAAAAAGCAGAGAGGGAAGGGCAGTCCATAGCATGTCTGCTTTTGAGCTCGAATCTTAATCTTTGCTATGTGCATTTGCAGGGAAGATGCTGTACTTTCCTGTCATAGAAGAGTAAGTTCGTAATACTCTGCATGCCGTATTAAGAGAACTTTGTATGTAGAGATTATCACAATCACATGAGTATTTACCCGCGCGGTAGAAAGAACATAACGCCATGTCTTTGCTGTGCTGGACCCGACATTTTCGTGGCGACTGTCCCGTCTTTTTGAGCTTCCCGTGGGCGAGGCAGGGCGGGCATCTCTCGGCAGCGCTCGGTGCCTGCAGTGCCGGGAGGAGGCTGCGGGCGCCGCTGTTGACCGAGAGGAGCGAGAGGAAGGTCGGAGCGCTGCAGCCCCGCCCGCTGCGGACCGGCTCGATCGCTGGATCCTGCCTCGGAAAGTGGTCGATTTCCGATCGTCCCTGCGGTGCGGAGTCGGGATATAACGAGGTGGAGGGGCCGGAGGCAGCGGCAAGTCGGAGCCGAAGGGTGAGCCGAATCGGCAGCCGGCGGCGGGGATCTGCCTGCGGTGTTGCGGGGCCGGCGGTGCGGCGGCGGAGATGTGCGCGGCGGGGAGGCGCTGGGGCCGGCGGCAGCGAGTCCTGCTCTGGGGCATCTTGCTGGCGGCCTGGGAGGCGGCGTGGGGGCAGCTGCGCTACTCGGTGCCCGAGGAGATGCCCAAGGGCTCGTTCGTGGGCGACGTGGCCAAGGACCTGGGGCTGCAGCTGCCGGCGCTCCCAGACCGCGGTGTCCGCATCATAGACAGAGGTAGGACGCAGTATTTCACTCTGCACGGGAAGACGGGACATTTAGTGACGGCCGAGAGGATCGACAGAGAGCAGCTGTGCCGGCTGGTGGAGAAATGCGTGCTGCGCTGTGAGCTGATAGTGGAGGGGGAAATGAAGGTTTACGGAATCGAAGTAGAAATCACGGACATTAACGACAATGCACCCACCTTCCGAGAAGCAGAAATTGAACTCCGAATGAACGAGATGACAGCCCCGGGGTCCCAGTTTCCACTTGATAGACCTCACGACCCAGACTCTGGACGGAATTCCCTGCAGAGCTACGAGCTGAGCGGCGACGAGCACTTCTCGCTGGCCGTGCAGACGGGCCCTGGCGGGGATCAGCGTCCCGAGCTGGTGCTGGCGAAGGCGCTGGATCGGGAGGAGGCGGCGTTCCACGAGCTGGTGCTGAGGGCGAGCGACGGCGGCGATCCGGTCCGGACGGGCACGGCGCGGATCCGCGTGACGGTTGTGGACGCGAACGACAACGCGCCCGTGTTCAGCCAGGCGGAGTACACGGTGCGTGTGCCGGAGGACGTGCCCGTGGGCTCCGTCCTCGTCACCGTCACGGCCACCGACCCCGACGAGGGATTGAATGGGGACGTGAGATATTCGATGAAGAAAGAGACGAACATGGCATCGGATATATTCCAGATAGACGCTGAGACGGGAGAAATCACGCTTGTGCAGAAGCCTGGACTTCGAGGAAGGCGATTCCTACGTATTGAAGGTGCAGGCACATGATGGTGGAGGGCTTTTCGACACGACGAAAGTTGCCATCTCCGTGACAGATGTCAATGACAACGTGCCTGAAATGATAGTGTCATCAGCGCTGAGTGAGGTTTCTGAGGACGCCCCGCCGGGGACGGTGGTGGCCCTACTGCATGTGCAGGACCCCGACTCCGGGACCAACGGAGAGGTGCGCTGCTCCCTTGACGGGGATGTCCCATTCCGCCTGGAGAGCTCGCAGGGCAGCTACTACCGCGTGGTGACAGCGAGAGAGCTGGACCGCGAGCAGCAGTCGGAGTATAACGTGACGGTGCGGGCGGCCGACGGCGGGTGGCCGGCGCTGCAGAGCAGCACGGTGCTGGCGCTGCGGGTGCTGGACGTGAACGACAACGCGCCGGTGTTCGCGCAGGAGCGCTACAGCGCGCGGCTGCGGGAGAACAACGCGGCGGGCGCGCTGGTGCTGGTGGTGCGGGCGACGGACGCCGACTGGGGTGGGAACGCGCGCGTGCGGTACCGGCTGGCGGAGGGGCGGGTGCGGGGCGCGCCGCTGTCGTCGTACGTGTCGGTGCAGGCGGAGACGGGCGCGCTGTACGCGCTGCGCTCGTTCGACTACGAGCAGGTG